CTCCCTCCCTCCCTTCCTTCCTTCCTTCCTTCCTTCCTTCCGCACTACTAGGGTTTAAACTCCAGACCTTGTACTTGAGTTCCCTTCCCCCTTAACTTTCTATCTTCTCTCCACACTGCCTTTCTCCTTTCCACCCTCCTTTTGGCCCCATCATTTCTCCTCCCTCCCACTGCATTCCCCCTCCTTCCTTCTTTTTCTTCCCTCCCCCTGCCTCACACCTCACCATTTACTTTTCTCCCGGATCCCGGATGAAGGGGTTGGCCTGTCCCTGCCCTGCCCTGCCCCACTTCTGGCAGCTCGGGGCTCCATTCATGGCTGAGAGCTCTGGGACTCAGGCCCCTGGCCAAGGGCCCTCTGTCAGCATCCAGTTTCTTCGAGCCCAGTATGAAGGCCTGAGGAGGCAGCAGAGGACCCAGGCCCACCTCCTGGTGCTCCCCAAAGGTACGGCTGGGTAGGTGCTGGGCAAGGAGGGGACTAGCTGTGCATAGAACAGATGGCTGAGCTTCCTGGAGGGCAGAACATGAGTGTCTGCCAGCCTCCTGATAGGGGAAAGCAGAATTGCTACTGGTCTAGCCAAAACCAGAACCAGAACAAACATTACTGGATAGGAACAGTTCTGCTCAGTCTGTCCCAGGGCCAAATGCAAAGAGCCTCAGCCAGTGTTCCAGCCAGGGGTGGCATTCGTGGCTTTCTGCTTCTGATCTTGCTAGACTGGTCAGCCGGGAAAGCTGGGCTTGGGCCCCACTGCTGGGCCAGGGGGAGATGGGGATTCCACTTCCTGCCTAGATCTAACAGAAGCACTTCCAGCAAACCAGAGAAATTAGCGTTGGAGAAAGAAGGTGTGATGTTTCCCAACATTCTGGGAACTGGCTGCAGCACGGCTCTGGGCAGCCATCAGGCACCCAGGCTCACCCAGCCTCCCACAGCCATCAGGAAGATTGGGTCAGAGAGAAAAGCAAACTCTTCCTGGCCGAAAGAAGCCCCAGTTTGGGGGATTCAAAGTTCATTCTGAGAGGAAGTCCAGGCGCATGGGGCTTAGGAAATAAGTGGTTGTCAAATTCTAGTCTTTATCCTAGCATAGAGAAGAGAAGATCATGGGAGAAGGGACGGTCTGTGAAAGGTCAAAGCCATGCCCAGAGAGCTTGTGCAAACATGTGTAATTCGTTCCAAAGGCTTCTGTGATCTATCTTTGGCTGTACCAGGTTGGAAGGGAGCCAGGGGGTAGAGGCTCCTCCCTACTCAGGGCAGGAAGTGGTCCTCAAAAGACCACCAAAAGGAGGCTTTGAAGAGATGAAAGGGGCTTCTCAGAGCTGAGGAGTCTTTCTCATTACTTGGACTGGTACCAACCCAGATCCAGATGAAGGGAACTGGAGAAGCCAGTTAGGAGTATCTCTGCTGTACATAAGCTGGAAAGTTCCTAAGCGCTATCCTTTCTTCGGTTGGTCATTCAGCAAGCATTCATTCCGTTCACCTCCATCTGATGAAAACATCAGGTTTAACAGGCTTGCAAATCAGACTCACAAATTCATATGCTTACCAAACATTATTCAAATGCATCTCCTATTCCGTATAATCCCCAGGAATTCACGATCCCCGTCCCTAACCCTTCCTGCTGCCTTTCTCCTACACTTAGTAACGCAATGCTTCCTCTCCTGTCACTAGTGTAATAATACCACCAAGTCTTTCTCTCTCTATCTCTCTCTGTCTCAGTCTCTCTCTCTCTCTCTCTCCCTGTCTCTCTGTCCCTGTCTCTCTTTCATCTCTTTTATTTTGTTTTAACAGAGGGTCTTGCTTGCTAACACCAACTAGCCTCAAAATTAAGATCTGCCTGCCTCACTCTCCCAAGTGCCAGTATTCTAGATGTGTTCCACCATGTCTAGCTACAAGTTAGAGTTAAAAGATAAGCATGGTATGCATTGTCCCAATTAGGCATGGTGGTACATACCTGTATTCCCAGCTACTCAGGAGGCAGATGCAGGCAGCTTGCCAGTTTGGGGTGAGCCTAGTAAAAGGTAGTAAGAGGTAGTAAAACCCTATGTCAAAAACAAAAGAGCTGGGAATATAGTTCAAGTGTGAATGTAGGGTATCACATGTAGTATCATGTGATACCCTATGTTCAGTCCCCAATATTATAATAAAAGAAAAACTCTTGTGCTCTTGGCTTGTATAGAGATGGAGCGGGTGCTATTCCGAAGACATGGAGGAGACACCCACAGAAGGTCCTGCTCTGAGACCAAAGGCCCTGGGTACCTCCCACTGTTAGCTCTCTCTCCTGTTCTCTGTGGACCCAGGCTGGACTGACAGTTGAGCAGGCCTTCTATGAATCCATAGCTCTGTCTATCCTTCCTGAGCCCTTTCCTGCTAGACTCACAGTGGGGGAGGATTCTAGTTCCCAGGTTCTCCCATCATGCCCTGTTCCTCCCTTATTCTCAAATAAGTCTTTAGTATTTTGAACATCGTGAAGGTTTCCCTGCATGTTTCATTAAGAATAGAGTGTGGTTTCAAATAAGTTGTCTTCAGTCTTCCCACTGGAGCTCACATACAGGACAGCTGCTGTTTGCAGAGATGAATTGCCTCTGCTCTCTCTCTTCTGTTTCTTTTGGACTCCTGGAACTGCGCTCTGGGGTTTCCTTCTAACTTTATTCCTCTAATACTATGCCCACACTGTTTTTCTGCACTTGGTTACCCACAGAGTCTCCTGTGGTCAGAGGTGCCAGAAGCCTCAAGCAATTTTGACATCTCAGAGGGGCCGAGGTTTTTCACCAGCCTACTTCGGACAGGAAAATGCCACTCAGGCATTCCCACAAGCTTCACACCCTGCTGCACAGAATGGTTTTAAAAAATGCCTCTGAGCTGGTAGCTCATACCTGTCATCCTAGCTACTCAGGAGCCCAAGAGCTGAGGATCACAGTTCAAAGTTAGCCCAGGCAGAAAAGCCCATGAGACGCCCATGTCCAATTAACCACTAAAAAGCTGAAAATTGTGCTGTGATTCAAGTGGTAAAGTGCTAGTCTTGTGCATAAAAACTCAATGACGATGCTCAGACCCTGAGTTCAAGCTCCAGGATGGCATATACAATAAAAGAAGGGAGACATCTGCCTCCATAACTTTGAAGCTAGTTCAGAGAAAAGCAGTAACAAACCCAGTGTATGTGGACTAGAAGGATAATGATTAGTTCTCTATAAGAGCTGCCTTGAACAAAAGACCTTAGGAACAGTGCTCAGGCCCTGAGTTCAAGTCCCATGACCGGCAAAAAAAAAAAAAAAGAAAGAAGGAAAGAAGGAAAAGAGTGAAGGGAAGCAGGAAATAAATATACCATAACAGTGAACCACTGTCTTGAGTGGTAAATTCATTATCTGATGCTCAGGACAAAACCGACTCCAAGTCCCTAAATTAAGAATAATGTTTCCTCTTAGTGAGTATATATGAATCCATGTGTGTGAGTGTGTTAACCAGCTTTCCATTGGTATGATGAAATACCAAAGAGAGTTAGCTCAAAAGGAAGGATGTTTTATGCTAACTTATGCTTTCAGTGTTTCAGTCCATGGTCTGTGGTAGGCCAGGTTGTTTTAGGTCTGGGATAGTACCCTGTGTCAAGACAGAAGAATGTGATGAAGGAGGTTGGTCACCTCATGGTGGCCAGGAAACAAAGAAAGAGAATGAGACTGGAGACTCTTTCTTCCAATGAGCCCTACTCCCCAAAGTTTCTATCAGCTCCAAATACTACTACAAGCTTGTGACCAAAACATTAACACGTGGGCCTCAGGGGGTCATTTGAGATTCAAACTACAGCACTTTGTGTGTGTATGTGTGTGTGTATATGTGTGTCTGTACGTGTACGCACACGCGCACATGCATGTTCATGTACACATGCACATGCATTCTGGTCTCAAATGTTAGTACTCATTTTTCTTAAAGTTCACGTTCTTGCTTCAGTTTTTTTTTTTTTTTTGGTCCGGTTGTGGGGCCTGAACTCTGGGCCTGGGCGCTGTCCCTCAGCTCTTCAGCCCAAGGCTAGCGCTCTATCACTTGGGCCAAAGCACCACTTCTGGCTTTTTCTGCTTTTGTGGTGCTGAGGAATCGAACCCAGGGCCTCATGAATGCAAGGCAAGTACTCTATCACTGAGTCACCATCCTAGCCCTTGCTTCATTTTTTGACCTTTTATTATGCTTGAGTTTTTCCATACCATTGTCTAAAATCTGGACTTCCTTTTCATTTCTTTTATTGGTAGTACTGGGGTTTGAACACAGGGCCTTTTGTTTGCTAAGCAAGATAAGGTTTTCCTGATTTTGCCAATGGTAGTCTCAAACTTTGATCCTCCCATCTATACCACCAGTATAACTAGGATTACAAGTGTGAGGCACCATGCCTGAAGGGAATTTTAATATATTTGCTTATTTTCTTTCTGTTCTTCTATGATATATCCATGAAACTGTGAGGTTTTGTCTCAGTGTTGTAGATTCATTTATGGATTAAATACGTTACATGAGACCTGACACATATTAAGTACTTTCTCTCTCTCTCCATATGTACATATATGTGTGTGTATGTATATGTATATTATATATATAGAGAGAGAGAGAGAGAACAAATAATTGTGTGAAAGTGCATATATTGAGGTGGTTACGTGTGTGTGTATGAGAGAAAGAGAGAGAGAGAGAGAGAGGATGCATAAGGAAACCATGTGTGTGCCCATGTGTGTATGGACAGATGCCGTGTTTAGTCCCCTTGACATTCTAGCCTTACTTCAGCTGATGGTTCTACAGCCCTAAGTGATAGCTGTCCACTTTACCTCTCAGTAATGAAACTGTGTGTACCTTCTCTTCTCAGGAGGGAGCCCTTCTCCTGCGGAATCCATGATCAGTGCTGTGTGGATTAACAAGGAGAGAAGGAGCTCACTGCCCCCGGAAGAGCCTGAGCTGGGGCTGGAAGGGAAGCCAGAAGAAACTGAGGGAAGTGGTCTTCAGGCACCTGAGTCACTGTGGCACACACATCTAGAGATGCATCGTGTGGTCCAAACCTGCCACCAGGAAGCTAGTCATCAGTTCATGGCAAATGATCAACTTGCAGCATCTAATCAAAGCCTCCCTTCTAAGGGAGACCCACACTGGTGCGAAAATAATCAGAAGACCCAGCCCGAGGCAGCTCAGTGTCAATGTCATGTGGTTACTACCCAAACAAAGGCAATGGAATCCACCTTAACAACCAGTATCCAGTACCCACCTTTTACAATGAACTCCCACAGGTCTGGCAAACCAGCTCACTACCCATTTCCTCAGAGGAAAACACCCCGAATCTCCCAGGCTGCCCGAAACTTGGGCTTATATGGCCCTGTCTAAAGCTCTGGACTTAGCAAGATGTCTCAGCCTTGAGGCCATCTGTGGGCTCATGAAAAACAAATCAGAAAGACAGAGCCATACCAGAGCTAGGGAGAAAGGATGGACACAACTGTCAGCCATGAAGTTCACAGTGGGAACAGGATTTTGTCTTCCAGAATACGAGACCCTGCCCCTAGTCAGAGGGCTCACCATCCATTCAGAATGAAAGAGTACTGTCTGATCAGTGCCATCCTTCTGTGCTTATATAAAAAAAGACACTGCTAAGGAGCCTTGTATGCCATTCATGGGGCAGAAGGAAGGGTACAGAACACCTAATCCATCGCAGCAGAACACCTACTCCCTAAGAGTGGAGAATTTCTTTTTGTCAGTCATGGGGCTTGAACTCTGGGTGCTGTCCCTCAGCTCTTCAGCTCAAGCTAGCACTCTACCACTTGAGCCACAGCACCAATTCTGGTTTTCTGGTGGCTTATTGGAGATAAGAGTCTTACAGACTTTCCTTCCTGGTGTTGAACTGCAATCATCAGATCTCAACCTCCTGAGTAGCTAGGATTACAGATGTGAGCCACGGGCGCCCAGCTTAGAGAGTGGAGAATTTTCAAACATGAAGGAACTCTAGCCAAGAGACTGCCTTGGCAATGCCATTCAGGAGGCAATCTCATTTTCAGTATTTCTTGACTCCTCATGTATTCTGGGGTAAAAAACAATGAACTCAGAGAATTCAGGACCGTTTATGGGCTGTTGGACCTGAGGACTTAGAGTTAGTACATTCAGTAGTAGTGACTGCAGCATTTCCTTATGAACCTCCTGAAGCATGGTTATCCTGGGTAAAGTCAGCCATGTCAATGCCACCCACCATTATCTATGTTTAAGGTTAGCTATAAGCTGCCACTAAGACTGTATGTTCTGGCCTCGTGGTAGATTTATTTCCTTCTCTCCTTCACTCTCTTCCTTCTTTCTACAACTCCTCCTCTTCCTCTTTCTCCTTCTTCTTTTGTCTATTGTGGGACTTGAACTCAGGGCCTGGGCACTGTCTCTGAGCTCTTTGTTCAAAGCTAGCACTCTACCACTTGGAGCCACAACAGCACTTCCAGTTTTCTGGTTAATTGGAGATAAGAGTCTTACAGACTTTCCTCATTGGGCTGGCTTGGAATCAAGACGTTCAGATCTCAGCCTCCTGAGTAGCTAGGATTACAGGTGTGAACCACTGGCACCTGGATCCTTCTTTCTTCTTTTTCAACCGTTTTCCTCTCTACAAATTAACTTCACAATTAAAAAAAATCACTATCAATCATTGAAGATATACACAAATAATAAAAGACTAAATAATGATGATGATGATGGTGATGATGATGATGATAATTGTAAAATAAAAGCTCCTAGAAATCCCCCCCCACTCCTTATCATCCTAGCTAGGATCACTTAGGTCTTTACTGGGATCAAATATGTTTTAAATCTAGAACAAACTTAATCAAGTGTTGCTTGAGTTGTGGGGAAGAGAGCCTGTGGTTAAATTTTAGTAATGACATTCAACCTGATATTAACCTCTTATCAGGTATTTTCTCTATGTATACCTGCTCCTCCTGGACCACCAGAAATCCATGCCAATTTGGAAATTTATTATGACTCCTTTTCTGAATGATTCATAAGATGCAGATGTTTTTAAGCCTCTGGTAACAATTAAGGAAACTTTCTGAAAGAAACTTCATCTGTTGCTTTTCTTTGAAAGAAGAGTCCCACAAGCTCCGCCAGCCCAGGCAGAAAGTCCGTAAGACTCTTATCTCCAATTTCTTTTCTCATCCTTGCTCCCCAGGCTCCGGCAGATCTGGCAGAGTGTACAGGGCACCTGTATCCTGTGGGCGAGTTGGCAGAAAGCACGTGGAATGGGGAAAATGCACACCTAGTTTTAATCCAACTACTTTTTGGCCTGTGATTTGGACCTAGTTACTTAGCCTTTCAGTTTAGATCCCATCATCTGTCATGTAAGAGAGGTCATACTTGCTTTCCAAAGGTTTAGTGATACTATGTGCTAAAGTTCCAAGCACTCTCAATAAGAGACTGTGGTTGTTTCTCTCATTCTGTGTGTGTGTGTGAGAGAGAGAGAGAGAGAGTGTGTGTGTGTGTGTGTTATGCCAGTTCTGGGGCCTGAACTCAGGGCCTTAGGCTCTCACCCTTAGCTTTTTTGGTCAAGCCTGGTGCTCTACCACTTGAGCCACAACTCCGTCTCTGGCCTTTAGACACTTCATTGAAGATATGAGTCTCATAGATTTTTCTGCCTAGGCTGGCTTTGAACTGAGCCTCAGATCTCAGACTAAATACTCAGACCTCAGCCTCCTAAGTAGTTAAGATTACAGGCATGAGCCACCAAAAGATTTTATATACACCCATATCCATATATATGCATACACATGTATGCATGTATTCATACATATATGTACACATAAACATATCTTACAAGCTTCTGGGGCTGCAGACTGCTCCTGCCAAGAGCATTGAACCAGAACAATCTGTTTCTCAGTCAATCAATATACACAAACATACATTCACTACTAGCACACTTATCTTCCTACCAACTCCTGGACTGTCAAACTGCTCCTGGCAAAGTGCTCAGATTACTGTGGGTGCTGTCACACAAGGCAGGGCTCTGGTTTTTCTTCCTGTGGTCAGAATTGGAACTAACCTCTCCATGCTCTCAATGCTAGCAGAAACAGGAGCCAGGAAAGATGGAAAAAAAACCTATGAAACTTCCACACGGGGGAGTCTCTTTTCAGGAGTATGGAAGGCTGGGGGTCCCTGAAGTCAAGTAACCAGACTGATGCAAGACCTGTAATGCAAGCCACATGACTGCTGCACCAAAAGTCTCCATCTTCTCTGGCAGGGGGCAGGTGCCCCAGGCTCCAGTTGCCTGGCTGCACCTATACATGGTGACCTTTGCTGAGTTATCAGCTAAAGTTTCAGATTTCATCCTGGGGAAGGGCCAGGGAGAGAGGCCGGTGATTTTGCTTAGCTGGGAACAGAAAAGATCTTTAAAACCTGCAACTGCCACAAACCTGGTTGGGTGGTCTTTGTCATCATCGTGGGTGGTGCTGTTGGGGTCTTTATCTGCGTGTTTTCCTCTTCCTGGTCCTCCTTCTCCTCTTCCTTCTCCTCCTCCTCCTCCTTCCCCACCCCCTCCTGTTCTCTCTCCACCTCCTTCCTCCTTCTTCCTTCTCTGCTAGAGGCAGGCTCCTCCCCAAGCTGGTTATTGTGGGTCACTCCCTATTATTAAAGCTGAATATGCCACTTCTGAAGACTTACAACTTCTTTTTTTCCTTGGGGGGGGGGGGGTTTGGTCATGGGTTTGAACTAAAGGCCGAGGGCTGTCCCTGAGCTCTTTAACTCAAGACTAGCACTCTACCACTTGAGCCACAGCACCACTTCCGGTTTTCTGGTGGTTTATTGGAGATAAGAATCTCATGGGCTAGCCGGGCGCTGGTGGCTCACGCCTGTAATCCTAGCTACTCAGGAGGCTGAGATCTGAGGATCGCGGTTCAAAGCCAGCCCAGGCAGGAGAGACCGTGAGACTCCTATCTCCAATAAACCACCAGAAAACCGGAAGTGGCGCTGTAGCTCAAGTGGTAGAGCGCTCGCCTTGAGCTGAAGAGCTGAGGGACAGGGCCCAGGCCCAGAGTTCAAGCCCCACGACCGACCAAAAAAAAAAAAAAAAAAAGAATCTCATGGGCTTTTCCTGCCCGGGCTGGCTTTGAACTGCAATCCTCAGATCTCAGCTTCCTGAGTAGCAAGGATTACAGGCGTGAGATGCTGGTGCCCAGCAACTTAAAACACTTTTTTCAATTTAAAAACACTCTATCTCAGAGTCAAGTCAAATCCACCAAGAGCTTCCCACTGCCCTCTCTTGTACCGTTTAGCTAGAGGAGAGGGGGCATAGTCTTCTCCCTCAGTGCCTATTCTTGTTCCTCTGCAAAGGCAGGTAGCAGTCTGGTAGGAAGACTAGGAAGGACAAATGAACAATGAAACTCAGGTAGCCACACTCCAGAGTCTGAACTCTTCCTTACGTTCCTGCTTCTTTCTGACTTTCTCCTTTCTGTATTTCCATAGCTGGAAGCCCCCTTCAGACAGATGAATTCTGGTAGAAACGGCTAATAGAGACATTGGTGCTTTGATCTAGAGGCCAGGGAGAGCTGGAGTATATTTTCTAAATATTCCTTCCTAAAACCCAACCTTTCCCCAGCTTTGCAGTGGTGGGTAACCCTCCCCGCTCTTCACAAATATCCCTTTATGCCACTTCCTTATTGTTGAAAAAGATGTGAATCACTCACAGTATTTCCAGTCTGACCCCAGATTCCTGGAAGCCTTCCCCACAGGCGGTGACCATTCTCCTCCCACAGTGAATGAGCCACATGACTCCTCAGCACAGTGGGTTCAAGGGACTGCACGTGTCATTCGATTTCTTAGCCTTCGATTTGTGGCAATGATACCAAGTTCCTTCCTCCCTTTCCATTAAGAAAGAGGAGACACTCACCACGTATCATTAATGCTTTCATCTCTCTTTTGTCTGCTCCTTGATGAATCCATCACCTGGTTCTGTTGGCATCCACCCTGTGGGTTCCCTAAATTCAGGATCATAATCAAGACTTGGCAGTACACCAACCCCTCAGCCTTACCCTAAGTAATAGAAGGAGGAAAATAACAATTGTGGGAAAAGCTGTGGCTTCTGCCAACCCAACCTGAAGAGTCTTTAAAGTGAGCCTGAGCTGAGCTAGAAGTCAGTAGGAGGACTGGATTCAGATCAGGATCATTTCAACTCTTAGTGTTTCTGTTAAGCGCATCTCCTTTCTGGGCTGGGTAGGCCTTGGTTTTCAGCATGGGTTTTTCTTTTTTGAGGCATCTCAGGTGATTCTAATATCCTAGAGTGCTGACTTAGGGCCACACTGATTACAAAAGAAGCACAGAGTTGCTCAGAAATGGAGGCCAAATATAGCACTTTCCAGAATCATCAATGT